TAATACTTGATATTTATACCAGTTATTATTATTATTATTATTATTATTGTTATGGTTTTACCTAAACTGTATGACGTGATCATTATTTAGCATATAATTTACTTTCAAAAACTATTTCCTAAATGAATAATACTTTGAAAAGTATCTCTCAGCAATAATAATGCTTTGACTTGCATATTATTCTCTTTTTTGATCTAATCTTTGCATGCAAATAATATGATAGTAAAATTTTACGTGACTTCTTTTGACTATCTTTTAATTTCTACGTGAACAAGTATGAGCAATATTTAATACTGATTCACTCGTTTTCTTTTAAAAGTACAGTTATATAGGCTAAACAGTATGTACTGGCTCAAGCACCGTTTGATAAAACAACAGCAAGTGATTTTTACCGATTAGTTACACAGTGCAAGCCTGAACTGATAATTTTACTTATGGATTTGGACTCATCTAATGAAGCACAGTAAATCTACTTCGATATGTGTTATTTTAGCATTTTAGCAATTAAAAAGTAAAATTAGAAAGTAATTTATAGTCAGAAAAAATAACATTAGAAAGTAATTTATAGTCAGATGGAGACGAAAAAGCTCTCTGATATTCTGTAGTGAAAATGGAAAAAAAAGCAGTTTAAATTCTAGAAATTAATACAAAATTTCGCTTTTATGCGTATATCCCACGGAAGTAGTGACAACAGTACTATCAATAATTGGCATCAAAATTATAGATATATTATATCTTTGGAATCGGAAGTGACAAAATATGGTATATTCAGCATAAAATACAAAAAAAATGAAAAGATTATTCAATCGAAAGAGAACGTCGAAAAATACAGTCATTATACAATAACGATAACGTGGGGAGAGAAAAATGAAGAAAAGTATGATCTAATCACGTTCAATACGTGGGTTGAAGATAAAGTGATCCCAACGCAGGATTTTGTAAAATTTCATAAATCGGTATGTGGAGCTTTCAATTCATAATTGTAAAACGAATGACCGTTAAGATGAATTATTATAGTTGCAAATATGAGATGTAAGTTCAAGTATTTCGCGACTAAAATATTTCAGTTTTCTATTTTTTACTGTTGAAAAGTCGGAATAACTTTTCAATTGATCAGAAAAATCTAATCAAAAATGAAGACTTTTCTGAGTTGAATGCAATACTTTCAAATTTTCGATAGTTTATTCTTTAATAATTCAAAAAATATTTGCATCAAATGTTCTCATAATGAATATTACGCAAATTTAAGCGCAAGTTTAGTGATAATAATCATTTGGTTGTTTAGGTGCATAAATTGTTAAGTGATAAGCCACGAGAATGCTCGCAACTTGTTGTCTGTCCAACAGGTGTTCATCGTGCTGGTATTTGGACTGTATTTGATATGGAAGCTGAACGTTTGAAAACTAAAAATCGAATTAGATTTTCTGATACAGTAATTTTTATTCCATTTTATTACGTAAAAAAGTAAATAGTACACGCTTAAAAAAAAGCGAGACGAACTTGGATGGAAGACATTACAAATAATGAATCAGAATAAAATGTTGGATGATTATTAATGTTATTAATGTGGAGCATTTGAGATTAAGTAGCAACTAAAATAGTGCTAAATGTTTAGTAAAATTGATAGGATTTAAGTAAAAAGTAATAGAATGCATTTATTAATTATTATTTTACAGTAATGTACAGGAAATAAAAAACAGACTGAAGCATTTAGAGTTTTACTATGTGTCATTTAAAAAGTTTTTATTTTATAAGCAAAACTGAATTTATTTTAAAATTATCATTACATGCTTGAAGTTGACAACTATAATAAACCAGTAATATATGGTGGCATTTCCTACTGTTACTGGTAACACTGGTACCTTCATTACAACTATTATCACCTTTAGTTTCATTTTTATCGTTATTATTTTTAATAAACAATATTGTACTAATTTTTTCAGATCAGAAATGTTCGCAATCAGCGGTGCAATGTGATTGAACATTTTGAACTATTTGATGGCCTTTTAAACCTTCTTGTTGCTTATGCTAAAATGCAAATGTAGATCTTAACAGGCATTTGTGAATTATAATTAGTATGCGAATAAATTTCAATTCATATATTAAGTTATGCAGTAGATATCCTGAATTACTGTAATAAATGGAAAAAGTTCCGAGGCTAAAATATTTTTCATCATCACTGAGAGTCATCAAACTGTTTTGCGTTTTAGCTATATGACCTGATAACTTTATTTCAAATAGTAAAATTGATCGATCTTTTAGTTCGCAAAAAAATTAGCATAAAACTGAAAATGGCATAAAGCTTATATCAATTAATACTTACAAAAAAGCAGCACTCGTACGCATATTTAGGCAGTTTATTTTTGAATAATTGTGGAGAAACTGTCGGCTAATGAATATTTGTAGCATTAATTTCAACGAATTAATCATGTATAATTCAAAGTTGAAGAGATACATGTTTTCAACCTAGGAAATGCATTTTTGAAAGGATTAGTTGAATCTTTGCTACATTGATATTAGCATATTAATAAAGATGTCTTCACAATCGATTATAGTTTGAAGCATTTGAAAGGGATATTAGGTCTCCTTGGCAACGATGGTTGAAGTCTTCAACAAATTCGTACCGGTAAAACCTGACCTGAATTATGTCTCACAGAGAATTGAGAAGTTAGTTTCACTTGTTTTTCTTCAGAAAAATCATAAAAATCGTTATTGTATGCAGAAAATACTTAATTCCCTTAATTATGCTAAAAATAAATACTTATAAAATTTGCATATACTTCAAAGCAATGTTTTATTAGTCTTCTAAGCAATATGCAAAATAGATATGGCAGAACAACTACGAGTTCTACGCTATCCTCGTCTTGTATCCATCGAAAATTTTCGGAAACCGAATTTCAGACTTGTTGCTGAGCTACTGGAATGGATAGTAAGAAAGTAATTACTTTGTATACTAACTTTAGATTCTTTTTGATAACATTTTTGATTATTTGAAAGATATTACAAAACTTCAAATTTTAAAAATTTTAAAAAAGTTGCAACAAATTTTTTTATTAAGTTACAATTAATCTCGAAAACTGTATTTTAAATTGAAGCTTAATTAATCAACTACATTTTTTAAATTTGACTTAAATTATCGACTTATTTTCTGCAAATTTTTAAATAATCAATAAGCAAGTTTTGAATCACGCCTTTAAGCAATATTTTATTCTATGAACGAAAATAATCAAGTAATTTAAGATATGATGACCAAACTTCCTTATCACTTTTACTAGAAACAGAACAAGATCGAATATTATTCATCAAATCAGCCACCTTCCACATCTTTCAAAAAGCTCGAATTAAGCTAAATCCTAGAAAACTTTACATGGTAAAAGTTTTAAATTTCAGTTTGAAATCTCTTTTTATTGAAAATTTTACCCAAAAAGCTTTTAACTTTTGCTAAAAATTTTCATATTTTCATTCATTCATTATTTTTCAGTATTTCAGAATATTATTAATTACTACTCGATGTTTATTTACTTCTGATGAATGCAGCAACTAAATAAGCATATGAATCGGAATTTGCATTGCTTCAAATTATTTCAACTTGAACAGAACAAATTATTGATACAGATTTTGTTTCAATTAATTCCTGAAAATATATTACAGACTATTTTAAGATCTGTAGTAATATTTTAAAAACTTGAATAATACTATAAAATGGTTGCAAAATAACATTAATATTTTGTAAAATTTGATGCTTGCAGGCAGATGGATATGCTGCGCAAGAACTTGCCGTAGTCATTAAAAATTTGTATGAAATAACTTATCGCTCAACTGACGTGGAATCAAAAGCTGTAACGACAACTCTTAAAAACGCTTTACTAAGCAAAGTAATTTCATAAAAAAACAGTTTTATTACAAAGTCATAAATCAACTTTGCTGCTGATATATAAATTTGATAGTTAATGCAAAAGTATTTAAATAAATGGATTTTACTAAGTAATGCGCAATTTGAAAAACTTCTGCTACAGCACTTTTAAAGTCTGAAATTCATGCTTGTAAAAAATTGCAAAAGCTAATAGAGTCTTTAATTTTAAATAAATCGCAAGCTTTAATGATACATGTTAAGTAAATAAATTATTGCGAATAGTTTATGCGCAATTTTTCTAGTTAAGGAAAACTGTAATTTTTTAAGACATGAAAGGTATGCATAGAAAACACATTTAATTGTTAACAATTTGGCTTAAAAGTTTGACTAAATAAAGTAGTATACATTTCAAATTATTTTGCAAATTGTTTAGCAAAATTAAATTACTTAGCTGAATGAAAGAACTATCACAAAAGTTCAAGAAGGATTAGAATATGTAAATTAAGGCTGAAGAATTGCATAAGTGTCGACAGCTAGCGCTTGAAATCCCAAATAGCGGCGCAACGTTGTATGATCTTTTGGCTAAAGAATCCGTCGTAAAAGTAATTCTTTTTTTTGCGTCAAAATTAAAGCGTACTTCAAGCTGTCCATAAAGTTATCATAGATTATGCAGCATTATTTCTCGAAAATTTAATCACATAACTTAAAGTTAGTTTGCAAGTTATGACATTTATGTATGTGCAAAATTTATGATATCTATTTAGTATTTAATCAGTTCACTAATTTTAAAAATTTGAATTTTCATTAAATCAAAACTATAAAAAGTAAATCAGATGTAGACTTTGCTTCCAGGTAGAACGAAACAAAGCCTTATCATTCTCTTTAAGCTTAGTCGATGCAGAAAAAGTTATTCTGCGAGCTGTAGAGGCGTTACAAGTAATTTTTCACGCATGATCACGCTTTAGAAGTTAAATTCTGCCATCAGTATCATAATTATAGAAAGCATAAGCGATAATTAAAATAAGATTGTTTGTTTTTGACGAAATTAAACGTGAAGTCATGTCATTTAAATTTAGATTATGGCTGTTTTTTAATGAATAGAAATTTTATGCATCGCTAAAAAATTGCTTTTTATTGATTTTAAACAATAATAATTTGTAAAAATTAAAAGATTTGTAGGAAGAATTAACAACTGTAAATCGCAATGTAGAAAACGTAAGCTCAGATGAAGCAGCATTAGATTCAAAAATCCAACGTCGAACACGTGAATATGAACAGCAACAGAAACGTCTAGCTCAACTACAAGTTCCTTTTTAAACATTTAAAAAGAAGAAATAGCAGCTAGACTCTTTAGACTTGTTTTGAGAATAGATGTTACAACAATTATTTTAATCATTGTAACGTGAAAATTTTCACTTTCAATCTTGAATGCTGAAAAATAATGCATTCATGAATGTAAATTTCCGTCAAAATCTTTTTTTATTCAAACCAAACTGATTGATATTCAAAATGTATAGAGAGTAATGTGATGTAAATATGCTTTACTGCAAATAATAGACTAACAATTTAATCAAAACGGTAACCAATTTTGAGTCATTTCGCCCACAAAGTATGGGTGAGTATGAGAAACTTGAAGCAAACTTGAAACAACTGTATGCCGCTTACGTACTGAGATTCCGAAATGTTGCGTACTTACAACAAGTACAAGTAAGTAATACCTGTATATCATCTATTGAAAACATAACGCTGCTCATTACTATAATCGAAAAGTTTTATAAAAGTTTTTACTTGCTGTTATTTTAATGATTGTACTTAATTAGAAGCATAATTATTAATTCTTAAGTCACTACAGGTCAAGACTCCTTTATATTTTCCTTTTTAGACTCAAAAAAAAATTAAAGTTTCAAAGCATAGATAATAAGTTATATAATCTGCTGCATTAAGAAAAAGGCTAAGAGTCACAATGATTTAATGCGAGCTTATTAGAGATATCCCAAGTACAACAGGTGAGTGCGCAGATTTATTCTTGTAAGAATCATCTTACTTTTTTACTTTAAGGATCAGTTTGATCACGAGGAGCAGCAACGTAACGCTGATACTGAACAAAGAATACGTGAAAAAGTGGAATTTATGCGTACGCCAGAATTACTGCTACACGAAGCGCAGTATTGATTGACTGCATTATTAGATTAATTGCATTATTAGTTTTCTTAACAAAGAATTGATATCATATTATTAGATTTTAAAAAATGACTGAATTATTGTTGCAAATAATTTTTTGATGATGAACTTTCGTATTATTATGCTTAACACGTCAGCAATTGTAGTAAAGAAAACAAAAGGTAAAAAGCATACAAGCTAGTTCACTATTGTAGGATGGCAGGACTGGATGAAGAAGCAAGCATGTCAAGGTCGGGGGTTAGAGGTGAAATCTGTGCATATTTTATTAATTGAATACATCAGTGGCAGAACAATTCAGCATTTCCAACTTTTCAAAGTGTATTTTTTACAATTTAACTTTTATTTTAACTGCTGCAGGATCCAAAGTATTCGGTAGCATGGTCGGAGCAGAGATCAGTGATGACGATGATGATGATGATGATGATGATGATGATGATAGCGGTAATGGTAAATTAGAAAACGATATATTTTATGAAGATGACGACGCTGATGACGACGATGACGATATTTTATATCAAAAACAAATGGTTTTGATCTTTCTTACGAATTCATTATTTATTTGATCTTTTAAAATATGCCATTTTTCAATCATTATTTAAAATGTGATTCTGCTGAAGTGACTAATACTTTTTAGAAAAAATCAAAACATGAAGAGAGCACAGAGCCAGAGAAGAAATTGCATTTTGGCGGTGAGGAAGAATTCTGAATGATTCCCTGTAATGGTCATTTATCATCTCAAATTCCATTTATGGATATATATTTTAAATGTGAAGAACAAATCAAACAGATCAAAATGTGACTGAATTTGAGGAGTATGCCTTTGTAATCTAAACGCCGTCTAATCACCACGCGCATTATTAACACTTAACTGATTCTATTAATCTAATTATTAATAAAGCTGACATTATAGTAAGTAGATTAGCTTGGAATGTGACTTGACTTGAGATGGCTTCCGTTGCAAATCATTCGAATAAAGTAACAAATTATCTTCATGTGTATATAATTCCACTTCACATCGTTAATTCCTCTACACTGTGCTCTTAATCACTTCTATATTTCTGCACTTAAAAAGTGATGATTCTTCCGTTACTGAAAAAAAATTGTCTGAAGTAATGCTTGCATTGTTATCCTTTACAGAAGCTAAGACTTTTATTACTTGAAGAGTGTGACGGAAAGGGTACAAGTCTGTGATGTCCGTAAGAGATTCATTAAGTGCTCATAAACTAATCCGAAACTGAAGTGATTATCCTGAGACATTCAGTTTCAAAAATACTAGTTCTCGTTCTAACTGCACTGCTAATCTCAACAACGTAATAACTAGCAGCGTCTCTAATCTAAAAAGCTTACTTAAAATTCTACTCGTTTATCAGACAACTGCCTGAATAAATTTCAATCCATCCCCACTTATGCTTAAAATTATCAAATAGAATTGTGATTGAAGTAAAATCCGAGTGATACAATGTTTAGCTTGTTGACTGATCAGCAATTACAAGAGAGAGCAAGAGTTCAATCGTGATAAAAGGTCGAGAGTAAAGTAAGGAGACTGCTATAAACTGATGATTGGCTGCACTGAGCAAAATGCTTTAATAAAAATCATTAATTAAAAATTATCCATCACACAGTCTTGTTTTAGCATTACTTTTTTATCATTACAAGAGTAAATAACTCGTCATAATTTGTATATAAGTACACAAAAGTTTAACTGACTGCAGCAAAAAATATACAAGTATCAAATTGATTACTTAATTTAATGAGTAAATGAGTACATGTAATCTCGTGTGGTGTTTTATACCTGCATTTATTGATCGACTGCTAAGTTAATTTTGCTTCCATCCATCATCACTTTCTGCACTTTTATTCAATTAATTAATTAATGTACTACAATTAATTAAACAACTATATTACATCACTCAGTAGCATATGCGAAATGAATATGAATTAGAATGGATGATAAGTCAGTGCTATTACTGCTAATTTTTGTAATGTGTCCAGTTTTGTGAGTTTTGTGGAATGAAATGTGCCCCAAATTTCAGTCTCTAAAATGCATCAATTTACTCTACGCTAATTAAACCTTTAGTAATTATTTTATACAAACTAATTAACATAATTTGACTTCTAAATTACTGAAATTTGTTTACCTATGTAACCACCTGGTTTCTTAACGACATTTATGCAAACATTGCTGTTCAGGCCGTGCCATCAAAATGCGCTATTCCCTGGTGAAATATGGCTGGTATTTATGGTTAAATATTCTTCCAGAACGAATACATAATGGATATGTGTGGGCCAAGAGACTTCATAAAAATCCAGAGGTCAGTAGGTCAACTAAGTATGTATTATAATCTGAGGAAAACAGTCAGCACACGGTATGAAACATTTTTAGTCGTTTATTTTTGTAATTTCATGATAATCTGATATTTTAGGCAGGAATTATTATTAGGGAGAAGATGACAGGTAATGATGGTCATCGAAACACCGAGAAGGCCATTTTGGATCGAGATGATTACTTGGGTCATTTGAACAAAATTATTGATAAGATTCGTTGTACTAATGATTTCAATCGCGTTGCTAGAAAGGTTTCTTTTGTTATACTTTTATTTGTTACATTTCTGTCGTCACTGTACCAAGAAAAGGTAACATTTCGTTTATATCAAAAACATTTAATTTTTATGATTCTTAAAAAATACAAGACATTCAAGTGAAGATGTAAAAGTACATATATTGTGACGTTGTAACAAAATTGAATTCCAGTATTAGGTTGACTGAATCAGCTTGTGATAGATTAACGTTTAATGATAATTTCAGGTTCAGGCAGTATCGGCTTCAGCTGACCGTCTGGTTTTGGAAATGATTGTGGAGGAAGAACATGTGAATAGTAAAAAAACATTACATGGAGGTCAAACAGCAGCGTTGGTTGATATGATCACTGCGCGAGCTGTTGGAATGACTGTAAGAGATAAAGTTATGGTTTCTGTGGAACTTTCAGTTAGGTAACTTTTTTATAGCTATTTCACGATCTAATCTTAAACTCATATTCCTACAATTGGTGACAATTTCCAAAAAAAAATTTTTTGGTATTTTGATAAACATAGAGGTTGATGAAGTTTTTAAAATAAGTCCTCATTTTTTTCCTTAGCGTTGTGTTGCAATTAAAATTATTCATATAACAAAAAAGACACACCTGATTATATCTGGAAAGCTCAAGATTAATGTGGCTGAGCTGTATTGCTTTTCTTCAGCTACATGTTGCCCGTAAAACTTGGCGACGTAGTTGAGATTGAAGCAAAAGTCTTGAAAATTGGTCGAAATATTGCTTTCACGGAAGCAGAATTCCGGAGGAAGAGTGATGGTCGGCTGGTTGCTAAGGGAAAGCACACCATAGCATTCGTTTCACAGACAACAGCATCTGATGACAAATCCTACGGGCAATTCTAGCGTGTAATGTCAGTGCAAAGCTAGTCGACAGTTTTTGTCATTAATTTATTAAACCTGTTTTTAGAAAATTTGATTAGTTTTAATGCAGTTGCTATTTATCTTTTAGAAATTCCTCATGATAGAAATCAGTTACCATACGTAACAGTTAACTCGTGATCTGTTTCCTTTCGTCCCTTAAGGTCATCACTTACAGATCTCGTATTTGTAATCCTTATTCGTGACCTTTACACATTTACAATATACACCAATGACTTCAGAAACAGTCAGTTAGAAAATAGGACACGATTAAGGGACAACCTTACTTCTCAGTAATCCCATTTTTTTTCCTTAATCGTATATTTATTTTCGTGTATAGATCTACTAATAAGCTACTAACACAATTACTTTTAACCATATAATCGTAATATCTCAGGTGTTGAATTACTTGAGAAAACTGATTACCCAAACTAACCGCTGCACGCTACCGTGACGCAATGGAAGAAATGTACATAACCCAATATTTTCATCTCTTAGCATTCTTGCTGCATTTTTGCAATTTATCTCGTTATCTGTGATTTATGGCATTTGTAGTGTTGTCGCCGGTTTCTTTTGTATTTTGACAAAAATTTGATATAATACAGCGCTTACGTTTTGGTCTGCTTGTTATTTTTTCAAATTGTTAGATGAAACTAGACTATGGATATTTTATT